GGGTATCTTCACATTCGCGCCGTAGTATATATACACACTAAATATTTTACTCAAATTCGTTTTTTTTAACAATTTTAAAAGGGCACGAGGAGTCCAAATTTCCTATTTAGTACTAGTTCTTAACAAAACTTTAATTAAAATTCTTAATTACTACTATTAATTGTGAAATTTCCTTTTATGTGTTTAAATCAACACTGCTTTACCCTAAACAACAACTAATTTTCCAGGTTTTATGACTAAATATAAAAACTCTTTAAAATCTTTAGGTTTTCACCTTAAAAGTCAACATTTTTAACACAAACTTGAAAACTTGTTTCTTGCAATTAAAGCAAAACATCAATATGAAGTCAGAAGATGTGTTTAGTTTCATCACCGTGCTTGGCCTCGCCTATTCTCGGATATTCATCTGGATCTTTCTAGATCTTTCTTGATTCTTCATAACTTCCATAATCTTGATATGGTCTCAAGGATCTCCCAATAACATGTCTTGACCTAGGCCTCGAAATCGGAGTACAAAGAGGCCAACAACGAGCTAGAATCGTTACTTACCACGCAATATTCCCTACCGAACTACGAATACCAAATTCCGGGGTCAGAGAAGAGAAAAGAAAACGAGGGTTGACACAAAGCGCGATCGAAGCCCTACTTCCAAAGTTACTTGTTGAACAAGGTAACAACCATGAAGAAGAGGAAGATAGGTCAAGAGAATGAGCGATTTGTCTCAGTGGTCATGTCGCAAACGAAGAATGTAGAGTGTTTCCAGTTTGTTTAGACATATGTATCACGCGATCTGTATCGATGCTTGGCAATCATCTTACATGTCCTACTTGTCGTAAAGATTTGCCAGATTCATGACCAAAAAGCCCTAACTTGTGTAAGTTGTAAATAGATATATTTATCTCTCTAAATGGAAATCCATTTGCTAATCTTAATTTTACATTGATTTCGATTTCGTTTTGATTATGGCGAGTTTAGTCAGAAACAGAGCATAAATGTTATAATACAGAGGAATGGTTTGATTTTGTATTAATCTAATAATGCTCATAAACCAGAAATTGTACCGGCTGAGTTTAGTTTGGGTTCGGTTCGAGAGAGAGTTCTTCACACTTATTATTTTATAACTGCTAGATTGTGTTCTTCGAACTTTTCAGAATTTTATGTTTTGTTTCGCCAATAAAGTTTTGTTGAAAATCGTAAAAGATAATAGTAATTTGAAATCTCAATTTTCATTATGGGACATAATCAGGGGCGGTTCGAAAAATTATTGGGCTTGTGCTATAATATTAAAATGGGCTCTTTAACAATTAAAAAAAAAATATTCGGTTTTAATGAAATCACGTGAGATATCACATGTCCTTTTTCTTCCTCTCACGTTTAACTTAATATTTCATCTTCTTTTTTTTCTCTTCTCCCAGCCGTTTCTGAAA